AAAACACAATTTAATCATTAAAGCCACTGTGCAACTATAATAGACCTCAGATAGAGTATATTAGGCCTATGAAGGTTAGTTCAGGTTGCCTTTGCAACATAAAACGCCGGAAACGCTGCGCGTGCTTGTGGCTTTATAAGAATGTAAAGTCAACTTAATTTCTAGGTTCTCTGTTAACCCCCAATGTTCCTTCTTGTATATAAATTAATATATAAATAAATAAATAAAAAATCTTTTCCGGTTTGTCCAAATTTAATACTAACGATTTCTACTTTCTAATTGCCTTTTACGTCAAAATATGTACGATGGTCCTCATTGCTTGCCAGAAACGCTGTGCGTATTACTGGCTTTAAGTATTGTATGTACTAGCTCTGTCTATAAATTACACAGTAAGATTGTAACTCATCTTCTATTTATGTACTTTTAGCTAAATAAACATTTTGATTTTGATTTGTTACAATATATAAGTACAACCAAAACAGGAGGATGGAGTGTATATGGTACCATTATTCATACCTTATATATTCATTTTCTTAGAACACTGAACACGTATTTGTTCATAGAACAAATATATGTTCATACACACAATAAAAAGTTCCTTTCTTACCCGGAATTTAGTACACCGTCACTCTTTCAGGAAGCTGAAATATTAGATACACTGATTTACTTATCAAACTAACTTATTAAATTTGAACTTAATTTTTTCATAACAATAACAATTTTAATAAAGGTGAAAATATCTAAACTTTGTTCATTCCGTAAAGCAAAGAATTGAAAAGTTTCTAAAACAAATTATTCTATACAGAAATAGGAATATATTTAAGGGTAAACTGCAATATTAAGATAGGTAGGGAGCCAGCCCGTCCTCCTTAGGTTTCCCAACGACAAGAAAACGGTTAATTTTAAGTGTCCTATCCTAACCTACCAGAGGACCCACAACAGAAAACGGGACAGTACGTCACTTTCTCGAGCTGCTTCCATTTTCTAGTACGACAATTTTTGATTGTCGAACAAATTGAGCAGCATGGGAATACATCATGGGATGAATACATGTGTAAACTTAAAATTAATTAAGTCTAAGCCCTAAGAATTAAGAGTCTATGGTAAATCTAAGAGTCTAAGACTTTGAATCGTAAGTCTAATTACTGAACGTTAATTAGTAAGTTAATACTGAACGGAGTTTGTGCTTAGACTTAATTCAGTTCAGTATTAAACACTTTTTTACTGGTAGATTATACCTTTAACTATTGTCAGTGTTTACAAGACGATCAAAGGGTGAGGACGTCGTTCCGCTGCTCTCGTCTGGCCTGCACCCTTGCCAGGGTAACATCTCCGCAACGTATCGCATTCTACACATCTCCCCCCATGCTGGGTACTGAGATGGAGAATCGGTTAACAGAAGACCTGGCAATATTCACATGGACACAGACTCAGAAAGCAGCCAGTCAGTAGAGGAGAGTAATTTTCAAGAAGTTCTAACCAGGGGACAGAAGAAACGGAGAAGACAGGATGTGGGGCGTAGTGTTGGCAGTCACAGTGTACCTAATGGAAACGACAAGAGAATGAGGAACGACGCTGAGACTGATCAAACCAGTGTCGACGAAAGGACAGAACGATGTGAGGAAGGTGAGGGTCAGCGGAGGTGGAGGCTTCTCTTCCCTGCCTCATGCACACTGGTCTACCACCACAAGCTGCTGAGGACAGTCAGACTTGGAAGAGAACACCGCAAGTTCGAGCCCCTGCTGAAGGAAGGTGTGAACAGACCTTACTTAACGGAAAGGTTCTATGGAGGCAGTTGTGTTTCTTACCCAGCAAGGATATGATGGAATTGTTATGCAAATACCAGAGGAGAACGAAAAGCTGACGAAGGTAATTATCTTCAAATACCCTCAGATTCTAGACCCCGAATTCATCCTCGACGACCAACGATTTGTGTGGGCCAAGCGTCACCTTATTAAAGGTGAAGCTAGGAATCAGGTTGTGGCTCTGGTGAGAGGTGAAGTCCCCGAGAGAGTGTTCATCCAACAACCTAACAACCCAACCATCACCAGCTCACACAACAACCTACCATGTTATAGTCAGGTGCTCGCAGACACCAACACAATATACACATCAATCAAAACAACAACACTCACCATTTCCACCCACAATCACCGCTCTAACAACCAGCAAACAACCCAAATCAGGATATAGTGTCTCTCAGTACATGTGGCTTCGTTCTCGACTCACAGTCGAGGATCCCGGATTCGATTACCGGACGGGACAGAAATAATGTCAATAATTCATTGTGTCGGGAGACAGGCAGCCAGAGTATATATACAGCACATGTTAGGCTCATACCTAGTCCCCCGCCCCCCGCCAGGGATCAAGTACTGACCCTCCCTAGGATTAATCAAGCTGATTAACTCCTGGGTACCTATTTACTGTTAGGTGGACACGTGGGGTGATAGGAGACGCGCCCAACCACTTCTGTCCCATTCGGGTTTCGAACCGGAATTCTCCATAATGAGATTGTACTAAAATGACCCCTGGTTGCTACCGGTACCTGATTATACTATCGGGAAATGGTTGGGTACGTTTCCTTTAACCTAATGCTATGTTCACATAGTAGTAAATAGATAACTATGAGGTAACTGTTGTGGGCTGCATCCTGGGGGAGGGTCAGGGGTTCGACCTCGGGGTGAGGGGGGGTGAGGGGGGACTTCTTCCGTTTCCAACTAAACAAATGATCCTGTTTGTAAGTTAGAGCCTGCAACCAAGTATCCACACGGAAATAGACACATCTATTACAAGGAAATGGACACATCCTAGCTGACATACTGCGAAAAAAATCCTTTTATCACAACACACTTCCATCCATCAGTCTCCCACCATCACTCGTTGGGCCAATCACAGCTTCTCACATTAAAATGTGTACAGACTCAGTCCCCCCTGAACCAACAGCCAGCACCTCTCCAACCAACACAGAAAACGCACAGAACCCGCTCACTGCTAACCCCATACTACAGAAAAGTCCGCAAGTGGCTTGCCCTACCACCCTTTTCCCTCTGTTACCCATAATAAATAATAAATAAACAAACAAATAAATAAATGTTTATTGAGGTAAACATACATTCATTCAAAATGAGTTACAAACATAATGTTGGATTTCTAGACAGAGTTAGTACATACTATGCCTAAAGCATAGTATGAACCCACCTCCAGACACCAATAACCCCTACGGGCTCACCATAGCCCGTGCTACTTAGAACTGTTTGTTCCAAGTAGCGAATCTTTAACAACAACAACCAATAACCCAAATGCTTCTACCACTCCTCTGCCAGCCACTCATAAAGCAGATCCACGCACTCAGAAAATTCCACGACTTCCTAAAATATCTACATCAGCACCTTCCTTGCCCACAAGGCCTTGCGTATTAGAAGCTTTAATTAAAATGCAATCCCTATACCTTCAAATATACCTGTCACATGTTCTTATGTATATTATATTAATAAAAATATTATTTTTATTACTTTTTTCCTCTTTAATGCTTCTCTAAATAGGAATACATCACCTTTACACGAAAGTCTCCCTAAAATAACAACACAAGGTTAATTAATAATAATAATAATAATAATAATAATAATAATAATAATAAAAATAATAAAAATAATAATAATAATAATAAAAATAATAATAATAATAATAAAAATAATAATAATAATAATAATAAAGTGTACAAAGGAGATAAGAGGGAGTGAGAGGTGTGGGGGCGGGAGGTACACACTATAGAAGCCAACTCTACGCGTAACGTTTCACGGAAAACATTGAATAATTTAGATAACAATCATTAGTAAAGAGGGTAAACATCTAATATTAAAAGTGAAGTGAGTTAACATATGTGAGAATGTTCAAGAAATATAACGATATACAATATATAGGTGATACTTAATGATGACAGGCACAGACTACTGTATGATAGAAATAATAGTAAAAAATAATTTCGACTAATGTAGATACACATGAGACATAAGGGGAAGACACATGGGTCAGACAAGAACATGACATAAAGACACTATAATACGCGGTGTTTCAAGCGTAACTTAAGATAAAATAGTTAGGTTGTTTAAAGGTGAGGTGGACAATACTAGCAAGAAGCAGTCTAACATATCAATTGTTCAAGACATTTTGCAAATGTTGTACAGCTTTTAGCAAGAACATAACATGAACAAAAGTAAGATAAAATGAACAGGTGTCATTAGGGAACACTTACAATTATGGGAATTGAAAGTTGTGAAAATATTTGTCAAACAAGATACATTTATACTCAATTGTTTATCAGTACATATATAGTTACTTATTACTACAACCTGCTCTCGCACAAGACAGCACATATATGACTTAGTGCTTATAGTCACTATTACGCTTATAAATAAGTACATATGTGACATCCCAACCCATATTTTTTTCAAGGCAAACACTTTTTCTCTGTTTTATTAAACAATAGAGATTTTATACAAAATTTGACAATATTCTGAGTTACTTTACAATTTATTTAAATATTTTAGTTTTCTTTTATTATTTTTATAAAACTGTAATATTAATATAGGTTCAGTACTAATTGTAATATCTTAACATACCAAGAAGGTTAGGTTGTGGTTTTCTATTCAGCTTTTGAAGGTAAACTCAAATATTCACAAGAAATTAGTATGTCACATATGCTAATAGTAGTAATAATAACATACAATATTTTATATACAATAACATACAATAACAATACAATATTATACCAATAACATACAATATTTTATGGTATATAGGAAGATCAGTATTTAGTAACAGCAAATATGAGGTAATTAATAAGTAAGGTTAACAATAAGAACAAAACACAGGTTAACAATAAGAACAAAACACAGGTTAACAATAAGAACAAAACACAGGTTAACAATAAGAACAAAACACAGGTTAACAATAAGAACAAAACACAGGTTAACAATAAGAACAAAACACAGGTTAACAATATGAACAAAACACAGGTTAACAATAAGAACAAAACACAGGTTAACAATAAGAACAAAACACAGGTTAACAATAAGAACAAAACACAGGTTAACAATAAGATCAAAACACAGGTTAACAATAAGAACAAAACACAGGTTAACAATAAGAACAAAACACAGGTTAACAATAAGAACAAAACACAGGTTAACAATAAGAACAAAACACAGGTTAACAATAAGAACAAAACACAGGTTAACAATAAGATCAAAACACAGGTTAACAATAAGAACAAAACACAGGTTAACAATAAGAACAAAACACAGGTTAACAATAAGAACAAAACACAGGTTAACAATAAGAACAAAACACAGGTTAACAATAAGAACAAAACACAGGTTAACAATAAGAACAAAACACAGGTTAACAATAAGAACAAAACACAGGTTAACAATAAGAACAAAACACAGGTTAACAATAAGAACAAAACACAGGTTAACAATAAGAACATAACACAGGTTAACAATAAGAACAAAACACAGGTTAACAATAAGAACAAAACACAGGTTAACAATAAGAACATAACACAGGTTAACAATAAGAACAAAACACAGGTTAACAATAAGAACAAAACACAGGTTAACAATAAGAACAAAACACAGGTTAACAATAAGAACAAAACACAGGTTAACAATAAGAACAAAACACAGGTTAACAAGAAAGATGACAAGAGCGGAGGAATATTGGTTACTTAAGGTTAATAAAGTAGGTGTTAGTTTATCTTTTAAACTGGACAAGAGCAGTACAATTGTTAATCTCCTTAAGGAGGTCATTCCACAGTTTAGGACCCGTGATTTGCACTGAGGTTTTGATTGGTTAAGTCGCACTCCTTGGGGGGGGGGGGGGTACTAGAAATATATTAGTTTCTGGTGTGAAGACCTTGGGGTCCTGATACACCCTTCATGGAAGCACTTCAGGTCAGGATCATCACTGTACTGTGGAGTTGTGTACACTTAGAGCACACTTGCGAGGATGTGCAGCCACTTACACTTAACTTATTCAAGTACTTCAGTAAGGGAGCCAAGTGCTATCTGGGGCTGGAGTTTGTAACTGCTGTGATTGTTAATTATGTTGAGTAGTTAGTGGTGGAAGGTAATCATGGGGTGTAATACCCAGACGCAGATGACATAGGTGAGATATGGAGAGATGAGAGATTAATGGAGTGACTAATGAGACTAATGAGAGAGACTAATGGAGCGTGACCAAGGCGAGGGACATAGTATCTGACCTTGGAGAGAATGTCTACTGTTTAAGATACTTTTTGTTGCATTTTAGTAGATCAACATTGCATTTAGTAGATGACAATGGAAGTTGAGGTTGTTATCAATGTCAACTCTGAGGAATTTACCTTCAAATCTGCACATTATTTGGGAATTGTTAACACTTAGGTACATCTGTTCTGGAGAACCTTTACTAAACAACAAGTGAAATATTTTGTCAATGTTAAGGATAAGTTTTTGTTATGGAAGCTGTAGTTGTAGCAACAATACAGAAGTGTTTTATAACATTAATAACAGCATGATAATACAGAAGCACATTTAATACAGCTACAACAACATAATATAACATACTGACCCCCAAAACTACAGACCAATTAGTCTACTTTAGACATTACGTCAAGTTTTAGAACGTCTAATCAATAACAGACTCAGACGTCACCTTAACGTCAATGATGTTACAGAACTACTTAGGTTGAGGCCTCACTGATCAGCACAAGACGCCCGCAAGGTCACCACAAACTACATGGACCTTAATCATATATAACAACAACAACAACACTCCAGAAAATAAGTAGAAAGACCCTTTGGACAAAGGTTGACACGAACGACTAAGATTGAAACTATGAAACAATTATGAACACGAATGGGCAGAGTTTCTTTCACCCTATGCCCCTGTTACCTAGCAGTAAATAGGTACCTGGGTGTTAGTCAGCTGTCACGGGCTGTTTCCTGGGGGGTGGAGGCCTGGTCGAGGACCGGGCCGCGGGGACACTAAAGCCCCGAAATCATCTCAAGATAACCTCAAGATAACGCATCCCTAACAAAACAGGCTTTTTCGTAACTACGTAGTCTCTAGAACAATGCAATTATAATTCCTTCAAGAACACTGTGACTGACCTGAACGCTGTATTGCCTGAAGGCTTGTCGCAGTCAAGCCTTCAGGTAATGTTATCAGTCAAGCCTGTCAGGCAGTGAATATACAGTCTCTGCATAAATGACATTCCAGACCCAATACATCAGACCTCACTATGAGCTATGTTGACAACCACACTCAACTCATTACAAGTAACTCAATAGACGTCCCGTCGTAGAAAACTTTGACCGATATTGAGAGAGAAACATGGTGGGCGTGTCTGACGCATTCACACGAACTGAACCAACTCCAAAAATCCCTTCCTCTATAATAAAGGCCTGAAGACACTACCTAGGAAGCTATAGTCATTCTGGCCAGACCTTCCCACAGCCAGTGTCCCGCCACCAGCCACAGTGTGAGTCCTGACACCTGCCTCACTCTACACTCACACCAGCCACAGTGTGAGTCTTGACACCTGCCTCACTCTACACTCACACCAGCCACAGTGTGAGTCTTGACACCTGCCTCACTCTACACTCACACCAGCCACAGTGTGAGTCTTGACACCTGCCTCACTCTACACTCACACCAGCCACAGTGTGAGTCCTGACACCTGCCTCACTCTACACTCACACCAGCCACAGTGTGAGTCCTGACACCTGCCTCACTCTACACTCACACCTGCCTCACTCTACACTCACACCTGCCTCACTCTACACTCACACCTGACTCACTCTACACTCACACCTGCCTCACTCTACACTCACACCAGCCACAGTGTGAGTCCTGACACCTGCCTCACTCTACACTCACACCTGCCTCACTCTACACTCACACCTGCCTCACTCTACACTCACACCTGACTCACTCTACACTCACACCAGCCACAGTGTGAGTCCTGACACCTGCCTCACTCTACACTCACACCTGCCTCACTCTACACTCACACCTGACTCACTCTACACTCACACCTGCCTCACTCTACACTCACACCTGACTCACTCTACACTCACACCTGCCTCACTCTACACTCACACCTGACTCACAAACATGCCACACCACACAGTCACCAGGGGGAACTGTGCACACTATCACATGTTCACATTATTTAACACAAGGGGCACACGCACTAGGGGACACAAGGGGCACACGCACTAGGGGACACAACGGGCACACGCACTAGGGGACACAAGGGGCACACGCACTAGGGGACACAACGGGCACACGCACTTGGGGACACAAGGGGCACACGCACTAGGGGACACAACGGGCACACGCACTAGGGGACACAACGGGCACACGCACTAGGGGACACAACGGGCACACGCACTAGGGGACACAAGGGGCACACGCACTAGGGGACACAAGGGGCACACGCACTAGGGGACACAACGGGCACACGCACTAGGGGACACAACGGGCACACGCACTAGGGGACACAAAGGGCACACGCACTAGGGGACACAAGGGGCACACGCACTAGGGGACACAAGGGGCACACGCACTAGGGGACACAACGGGCACACGCACTAGGGGACACAACGGGCACACGCACTAGGGGACACAAGGGGCACACGCACTAGGGGACACAACGGGCACACGCACTAGGGGACACAAGGGGCACACGCACTAGGGGACACAAGGGGCACACGCACTAGGGGACACAACGGGCACACGCACTAGGGGACACAACGGGCACACGCACTAGGGGACACAACGGGCACACGCACTAGGGGACACAACGGGCACACGCACTAGGGGACACAAGGGGCACACGCACTAGGGGACACAAGGGGCACACGCACTAGGGGACACAAGGGGCACACGCACTAGGGGACACAACGGGCACACGCACTAGGGGACACAACGGGCACACGCACTAGGGGACACAAGGGGCACACGCACTAGGGGACACAACGGGCACACGCACTAGGGGACACAAGGGTCACACGCACTAGGGGACACAAGGGGCACACGCACTAGGGGACACAAGGGGCACACGCACTAGGGGACACAAGGGGCACACGCACTAGGGGACACAAGGGGCACACGCACTAGGGGACACAACGGGCACACGCACTAGGTGACACAACGGGCACACGCACTAGGGGACACAAGGGGCACACGCACTAGGGGACACAACGGGCACACGCACTAGGGGACACAAGGGGCACACGCACTAGGGGACACAACGAGCACACGCACTAGGGGACACAAGGGGCACACGCACTAGGGGACACAAGGGGCACACGCACTAGGGGACACAAGGGGCACACGCACTAGGGGACACAAGGGGCACACGCACTAGGGGACACAAGGGGCACACGCACTAGGAGACACAGGTGGAAATTGAGTGCCCAAATGAGCCATAAAGACAGTACAAAGATTTTGTTTAGTGTCAGAGTAGTTAACAGATGGAATGCATTAGGCAGTGATGTGGTGGAGGCTGACTCCATACGCAGTTTCAAATGTAGATATGATAGAGCCCAGTAGGCTCAGGAACCTGTACACCAGTTGATTGACGGTTGAGAGGCGGGACCAAAGAGCCAGAGCTCAACCCCCCCAAGCACAATTAGGTGAGTACCAGCAGCCAAACATTCGGGCTATTGTCTAACCCTGTCCATGGAGGACAGAAGAAAATGTATATATGCTGGTTAGCATTGTAAATGTGTGGCCACGTCTGTGGTAGAAAATAATAAAAAAAAAAAAAAAAAAAAAAAAAAAAAAAAAACTCATACTGGGGAACACTAACAAACAAACTAATTGAGAGATCATCAACTCAACACAAACATCTAGGGGTTCCGGTAGTACTGTCGGGTTCGTTTTCAAAGCAGAATCGAGAATTCCTGGTTCGGATCCCGGGCGAGACAGAAATGATTGGGCGCATGTCCTTTCACCTAATGCTAGTGTTCACCTAGCAGTAAGTAGGTATACCCAGGAGTTAGTGACCTTGTCGTGGGGTTGTCGTGTCGATATAAGCCTAAGGTGCACGCATACACTCTGGCTTCCTGTCCCAGGACACAATAAATGATTTATTACTATTATGACACCATGTTGGTCCACACACACACACACACACACACACACACACACACACACACACACACACAGAGGAGAGTTAGGGGGGACATGATCACCACATTCAAGATTCTGAAGGGGATTGATAGGGTAGATAAAGACAGTCTATTTAACACAAGGGGCACACGTACTAGGGGACACAGGTGGAAACTGAGTGCCCAAATGAGCCACAGAGATATTAGAAAGAACTTTTTTAGTGTCAGAGTGGTTGACAAATGGAATGCATTAGGAAGTGATGTGGTGGAGGCTGACTCCATACACAGTTTCAAGTGTAGATATGACAGAGCCCGATAGGCTCAGGAATCTGTACACCTGTTGATTGACGGTTGAGAGGCGGGACCAAAGAGCCAGAGCTCAACCCCCGCAAACACAACTAGGTGAGTACAACTAGGTGAGTACACACACACACACACACACACACACACACACACACACACACGGAGGCACGCCGGCAGCACACCGCACCGCCGCCCCAGCCCGTGTCCACACATAATGTTCTCCACCTCCTCGAACTTCAACCCTTCAACACCGGTCCAGTCCGCCCACTCTGGCCACGGTCACGTCCCGCACATGTTTCCTCCCTACACCAAACACCTGTGATGTACAGCACAACATGCAACACGAGGCTCCGTGTTGCTAAAACAACCATTTATCAATACTTTCTCTAACGGCTGGCCAGTTGAGAAGCCAGGGAGTTACTCTCTGATAAACTCTCCCTCCATCACCATCTCTACCCACTCCCCCCACCCACAGCCAGTGGCTATCCTTCTCTGCCAGTGGCTATCCTCTGCCCATTCACCCCACAGCCAGTGGCTATCCTCCTCTTCCCACTCCTCCCACAGCCAGTGGCTATCCTCCTCTACCCACTCCTCCCACAGCCAGTGGCTATCCTCCTCTACCCACTCCTCCCACAGCCAGTGGCTATCCTCCTCTACCCACTCCTCCCACAGCCAGTGGCTATCCTCCTCTACACACTCCTCCCACAGCCAGTGGCTATCCTCCTCTACACACTCCTCCCACAGCCAGTGGCTATCCTCCTCTTCCCACTCCTCCCACAGCCAGTGGCTATCCTCCTCTACCCACTCCTCCCACAGCCAGTGGCTATCCTCCTCTACCCACTCCTCCCACAGCCAGTGGCTATCCTCCTCTACCCACTCCTCCCACAGCCAGTGGCTATCCTCCTCTACACACTCCTCCCACAGCCAGTGGCTATCCTCCTCTACACACTCCTCCCACAGCCAGTGGCTATCCTCCTCTTCCCACTCCTCCCACAGCCAGTGGCTATCCTCCTCTACCCACTCCTCCCACAGCCAGTGGCTATCCTCCTCTACACACTCCTCCCACAGCCAGTGGCTATCCTCCTCTACCCACTCCTCCCACAGCCAGTGGCTATCCTCCTCTACACACTCCTCCCACAGCCAGTGGCTATCCTCCTCTACACACTCCTCCCACAGCCAGTGGCTATCCTCCTCTACACACTCCTCCCACAGCCAGTGGCTATCCTCCTCTACCCACTCCTCCCACAGCCAGTGGCTATCCTCCTCTACACACTCCTCCCACAGCCAGTGGCTATCCTCCTCTTCCCACTCCTCCCACAGCCAGTGGCTATCCTCCTCTACCCACTCCTCCCACAGCCAGTGGCTATCCTCCTCTACACACTCCTCCCACAGCCAGTGGCTATCCTCCTCTTCCCACTCCTCCCACAGCCATTGGCTATCCTCCTCTACCCACTCCTCCCACAGCCAGTGGCTATCCTCCTCTACACACTCCTCCCACAGCCAGTGGCTATCCTCCTCTACCCACTCCTCCCACAGCCAGTGGCTATCCTCCTCTACACACTCCCCCCACAGCCAGTGGCTATCCTCCTCTACCCACTCCCCCCACAGCCAGTGGCTATCCTCCTCTACACACTCCTCCCACAGCCAGTGGCTATCCTCCTCTACCCACTCCTCCCACAGCCAGTGGCTATCCTCCTCTACACACTCCCCCCACAGCCAGTGGCTATCCTCCTCTACCCACTCCCCCCACAGCCAGTGGCTATCCTCCTCTACCCACTCCTCCCACAGCCAGTGGCTATCCTCCTCTACACACTCCCCCCACAGCCAGTGGCTATCCTCCTCTACCCACTCCCCCCACAGCCAGTGGCTATCCTCCTCTACCCACTCCTCCCACAGCCAGTGGCTATCCTCCTCTACCCACTCCTCCCACAGCCAGTGGCTATCCTCCTCTACCCACTCCTCCCACAGCCAGTGGCTATCCTCCTCTACCCACTCCTCCCACAGCCAGTGGCTATCCTCCTCTACCCACTCCTCCCACAGCCAGTGGCTATCCTCCTCTACCCACTCCTCCCACAGCCAGTGGCTATCCTCCTCTATGTCAGCTAAATTCCATACCTGTTGGGATCTGAATCCTGGGGGGAGAGTTATTGGCCTGGGCGGGGCCTCACACCTGATGCCTCTGTTCACCCCGCAGTAACTAGGTACCCGGGAGATGATGGGTGACAACGTTTGGGCCCGCGGAGCACCACCAGCAAGTGGCGGCCAGAAAGTGGCAGTCACACGAGGCCAGACAGTGAGAGGCGAGGCAGGAAGGGTGTAGGACACCACACCAGTCAACAGGAATATCGACCCTAAGTGCACCATGAGAGGGTAAGATAACCAGGGTGAAAATAGAAACCAAAGATAGCGAGAGAATGTCGCTATCTGCCTCTGTACGCGACCCGATAACGGTTAATGATGGACGGAAACGTTTGAGCTGGTGTGCGCGTTCAGCCAGGCTGTTGTGACTCGCTGTCTGCACCACAAGCTGCACAGGCGAGGTAAACAGAGGCATCAGGTGTAACAAACAACCCTTGGGGCCAAACACTGGACTTCCCCAAGATGCAGCCCACTCTGACAATGCATCTATGAAGGAGGTATTTCAGTCATACAACTGGCTCGAACCTGCGTCTCTGGAGTCTCTTAGAGTGTGTGTGTACCTGGAGACGCCGGTTCGATCCCCCATTATATGCTGGAGGATGTGGCTGAGATATAGGGAGATATACCGAGCCGTGGGCTAGTATAACGGGTTATATCACCTTGAGTGAGAACTGAGTGCATGTATACCGCCCCTCCTCATACATAGTGAGGACTCCACGCTCGTGTGTATGTATAATACATACACGTCAGTATGTAGAGACAGACGGGTCAGCAAGGGAAGAGAGAGAAGCGCACAGACAGACAGGCAGGTGGAGAAAGCTACCGTCCCCACCCCAAGCTGTCTACCGTCTGGGCAAGTGAGAGTGTGCTCCGCCTCCTGGTCCCCGCCTCTCCTGCACCACCATACATCACCTGCCTCATCTAATGAATGAGTTATACTCATCCTAGAGCGGGCGGGGGAGGCGTGACGTCACAGTCTAGGGTACGACAGTCTAGCAGTGTTGCCACGTGTACGGTACTCGGGCCCGCCACATTCACCGCCTCGGGTCGCTGCACCCGCCATCGGGTCTCGTATTCATCCTTTACTCATCAGTTTGTTGAGTATGATATCCCTGGAGAGGTGGCTATCCTCCCTGATGACGGGAAGTGTCCGGGTGGAGGAGGTGTGGCACCAGGGAGGTTATCTGGTGAGATGGTTATCGTGCTGGTTGGTCCTGGTTGATAGCGGCTGGTTGTTGTTGTTGTTGTTGTTGGTGGGGGTGGTGGTGGGTGGTGTGTGGTGGGGGTGGTGGTGTGTGGTGGGTGGTGTGTGGTGGTGGGTGGTGTGTGGTGGGGGGTGGTGGTGGTGGGTGGTGTGTGGTGGGGGTGGTGGTGGTGGGTGGTGTGTGGTGGTGGTGGTGGTGTGTGGTGGGTGGTGTGTGGTGGGTGGTGTGTGGTGGTGGTGGTGGTGGTGGTGGGTGGTGTGTGTGTGGTGGTGGTGGTGGGGGTGGTGGTGGTGGTGGTGGTGGGTGGTGGTGTGTGGTGGTGGTGGTGGTGTGTGGTGGTGGTGGTGGTGGGTGGTGTGTGGTGGTGGTGGTGGGTGGTGTGTGGTGGGGATGGTGGTGGTGGGTGGTGTGTGGTGGGGATGGTGGTGGTGGGTGGTGGGTGGTGTGTGGTGGGTGGTGTGTGGTGGGTGGTGTGTGGTGGTGGGTGGTGTGTGGTGGGGATGGTGGTGGTGGGTGGTGTGTGGTGGGGGTGGTGGTGGTGGGTGGTGTGTGGTGGGGGGATGGTGGTGGTGGGTGGTGTGTGGTGGGGATGGTGGTGGTGGGTGGTGTGTGGTGGGTGGTGGTGTGTGGTGGGTGGTGTGTGGTGGGTGGTGTGTGGTGTGGGTGGTGTGTGGTGGGTGGTGTGTGGTGGGTGGTGTGTGGTGGTGGTGGTGGTGTGTGGTGGGTGGTGTGTGGTGGGGTGTGTGTGTGGTGGTGTGGTGTGGTGGTGGTGGTGGTGGTGTGTGGTGGGTGGTGTGTGGTGGGTGGTGTGTGGTGGTGGGTGGTGTGTGGTGGGGGTGGTGGGTGGTGGGGGTGTGTGGTGGGGGTGGTGGTGGTGGGTGGTGTGTGTGGTGGTGGTGGTGGTGTGTGGTGGGTGGTGTGTGGTGGGTGGTGTGTGTGGTGGTGGTGGTGGTGGGTGGTGGTGGTGGTGGTGGTGGGTGGTGTGGTGGTGGTGGTGGTGGGGTGGTGGTGGTGGTGGTGGTGGTGGGTGGGGGGTGGTGTGTGGTGGGTGGTGGTGGTGGTGGTGGTGGTGGTGGTGGGTGGGTGGTGGTGGTGGTGGTGGTGGGTGGTGGTGGTGGTGGTGGTGGGGGTGGTGGTGGGTGTGTGTGGTGGTGGTGGTGGTGGGTGGTGGGTGGTGGTGGTGGTGGTGTGTGTGGGGGTGGTGGTGGTGGTGGTGGTGGTGGTGGTGGTGGTGTGGTGGGTGGTGGTGGTGGGGGGTGGTGGTGGTGGTGGGTGTGTGTGGTGGTGGTGGTGGTGGTGGTGGTGGTGGTGGTGGTGGTGGGTGGTGTGTGGTGGGTGGTGGGGGTGGTGGGTGGTGGTGGTGGTGTGGGGTGGTGGTGGTGGGTGGTGTGGTGGTGGTGGTGGTGGTGGTGGTGTGCGGTAGTGGGGGTGGTGGTGTGTGGTGGTGGTGGTGGTGTGCGGTAGTGGGGTGGTGGTGTGTGGTGGGGGTGGTGGTGGGTGGTGGTGGTGGGTGGTGTGTGTGGGTGGCGGTGGTGGTGTGTGGTAGTGGGTGGTGGTGGTGGTGGTGGTGGGTGGTGGGTGGTGGGTGGTGGGTGGGGGTGGTGGTGGTGGTGGTGGTGGTGGTGGTGGGTGTGGTGGTGGTGGTGGTGGTGTGTGGTGGGTGGTGGTGGTGGGTGGTGGTGGTGGGTGGTGGGTGGTGGGTGGTGGGTGGTGGGTGGTGGTGGGTGGTGGTGGTGGGTGGTGTGTGGTGGTGGTGTGGTGTGTGGTGGGGTGGTGGTGGTGGTGGTGTGTGTGGTGGGTGGTGTGTGGTGGTGGTGGGGGTGGTGGTGGTGGTGTGTGGTGGGTGGTGGTGGTGGGTGGTGTGTGGTGGGTGGTGGTGGTGTGTGGTAGTGGGGGTGGTGGTGGGTGGTGTGTGGTAGTGGGGGTGGTGGTGGGTGGTGTGTGGTGGGGTGGTGGTGGTGGTGTGTGGTAGTGGGGGTGGTGGTGGTGGTGGTGGTGGTGGTGTGTGGTAGTGGGGGTGGTGGTGGTGGTGGTGTGTGGTAGTGGGGTGTGTGGTGGTGGTGGGTGGGTGGTGGTGTGTGGTAGTGGGGGTGGTGGTGTGTGGTAGTGGGGGTGGTGGTGTGTGGTAGTGGGGGTGGTGGTGGTGGTGGTGGTGGGTGGTGGTGGTGTGTGGTAGTGGGGGTGGTGGTGGTGGTGTGTGGTAGTGGGGGTGGTGGTGGTGGTGGTGGTGGGTGGTGGTGGTGTGTGGTAGTGGGGGTGGTGGTGGTGGTGTGTGGTAGTGGGGGTGGTGGTGGTGGTGGTGTGTGGTAGTGGGGGTGGTGGTGGTGGTGGGTGGTGGTGGTGTGTGGTAGTGGGGGTGGTGGTGTGTGGTAGTGGGGGTGGTGGTGTGTGGTAGTGGGGTGGTGGTGGTGGTGGTGGTGGGTGGTGGTGGTGTGTGGTAGTGGGGGTGGTGGTGGTGGTGTGTGGTAGTGGGGGTGGTGGTGGTGGTGGTGGTGGGTGGTGGTGGTGTGTGGTAGTGGGGGTGGTGGTGGTGGTGTGTGGTAGTGGGGGTGGTGGTGGTGGTGTGTGGTAGTGGGGGTGGTGGTGTTTTTATTATCATTATTATTATTATTTTCTACCCCAGACGTGGCCACACAATTACAATGCTAACCAGCATATATACATTTTCTTCTGTCCTCCATGGACAGAGTTAGAGAAGTGCTAAACATATAGTTCAAGGGTTTATTGAACACTCAACCACAGAAGGTGAGTCGGTGCTTTTAAAATGCTAAGCTAACCTACATACGTAAATATGTAGATATACAGATTTACGTATGCCCTACATAAAGTGTTAGATGTGTCTTTTACATAGTGTCATTAATGTGCATTTACAAAGGTGAAATGTAATTCTGATCAGCTTCCATATATACTTTATATACATACATATATACACACACACATATGTACACATACATATATACATACATGTATACATACATATATACACACACACATTCATTCACATACATTTGTCTCTTTTACTCTGACAGGGTGAGATAGCTGGTAAAGAAACTAGTGTGCAATTAAGCACTTAATCACTGAAGGTGATGAAGGTGCTTTTACAAGCTCAGGTTATATAGTTACATCACATACATACATTGTATGATTGATACATTACATGGTTAATCTTGGATACAAGTCCAATATATCATCAAGTGTTCCAGTACTCATATAGTAACTACAGAGTTCAGCATACCTTAGCCCAGGAGGGCGAAAGTCAGTCAGTATGGGACATTCTACAATATAATGTTCAAGAGAGTGCATGTTTTCTCTTTCACAAAGTTGACACATTGTGTACTCGACATTTGGGTTTTGAGAAAGCTGCCAGATACGTCTATATCCCAGGCGTATTCTGGCCACTATAACATCACATTGCCGGGTTCTTGTTCTATTAGTCCCATATGTGAATGTCTCCTCACCATATCTATCATAATAT